ATTGTGGAAGGCATAGTCCACATAGACTGACCCAGGATACTGGAAGCAGGAGAGAAGTGGTAGAAAGAATGGCTGACTGACCAGCCGGGACCAAATGCCAGGTGCAAAAGTGAATGCACAAGGCCCCACTATTCTTTCACGAGTCCTATGCTGGGAACTCCCTGTCTAACATCCGAGTAGAGTGACTGAGAAGATGGGGCCGTGGTGGAGAAGCCCTCAGAACTCTGCTTGTTGAAGCCTCATTGTTGGAACTGAGATGAACTCCTCCCCCAGTGTCACCCGTCCTCTGCCCAGACAATCTAACTGGTCAAGCGTCTCCAAGCAGATTTGTTCCTGTGAGGGGTCTGTGGTTCTCACCCTGTTTGGGTATCAGATGGGACAATGACTCTATGAGGGCTGGGGGTGGACACATGAAGCAAGGGGTGAGTCAGAGCTGTGAGCTTACGTGGCTCCTGGGAACCCGGGGTGCAGGAAAGTCACACATCAGTGAGGACACTGCTGTGCCAAGTTTGCTAGAGACAGTAGAGTAGTGTCCTTACTGGCCTGGTCCAGAACCTGCCCTTTCAAGACTAGAGCAGCAGCGCCTCCTGGTGGTCTCAGAACCTGGACCCTTCAGCCCTTCAGACGCCTCCCAGCTCTCTTGGAAGGGTATCTCCCCTTGCAGATGGATCTACTCAATGTCACTACTGAGGAGGGAAGAGTGAGCAGGTCCCCTGTGTAGTGTCTGGCCCTGAGATCCTGACAGTATCCAGGATACTAATGACTTTAAGGTGGTAAATGTGAGCAGGTTGTGGAGTCCGATCCTCAGGGTGACCTGGGATTGGAGTTTGCTTCTACAGGTTCTTAAGGTCGTTCCAGTCTAGGATGACTTCTGGGCTTGTAACTCAATGGAAAAAGACCCCAATGTGTAGCTTCAGTGTTCCTGTTTTCTCTCTAGTTGGTTTGTTTCTTAATTTTTATTTGTTTGTTTGTTGATTTTTGTTTTAATGAAACTTAAGAAGCATTGAATGGGACACTGGAAGGAAAGCCATTGTAACCAGGAAGCTCTCTCCAAGAACAGTCAGTGGAGATGAGAGGTATTTTAACAATAGAGAAGAGTCAGCCTCAGAGACCCTGAGCAGCCTGGGGTTTTTGTCCCACTTCCCCATCTGCCTGAG